GCAAAGGCAGCTGGAGCACAGACTGCCACTGCAGCCCCTCTGTAACCAACCGCCCTCCTCCCCAAGTTCCATAGCCTCCACACCCAGACGCCCAAGAACGCGGTGGGGGGCCTCCGGCCAACCAGCCACTCCACCACAGAGGATTGCCCAAAAAAAAAGAAGGCTGTCATTCAATAAATTTTAAAGTTGTAAACTTTTAAAGTGCTGTGCTTAAAGTGCTGTGTGGCATTTTCCTTCCCTCCTCCACCACCCCTCCTGGGATACCTTGGTAGTCATCCCCCTATTTGTGTGATGAATGAATAACGAATGCATGAATGTGAAGCAACAATGACTTTATTGGCTCTGCAAGCAATGATTAAAGGGAGGAGGGGAGGGTGGTTAGCTTACAGGGAAGTAGAGTGAACCAAGGGGCGGGGGGGTTAATCAAGGAGAAACAAACAGAACTTTCACACCGTAGCCTGGCCAGTCATGAAACTGTTTTTCAAAGCTTCTCTGATGCGTACCGCACCCTCCTGTGCTCTTCTAACCGCCCTGGTGTCTGGCTGCGCGTAACCAGCAGCCAGGCGATTTGCCTCAACCTCCCACCCCGCCATAAACGTCTCCCCCTTACTCTCACAGATATTGTGGAGCACACAGCAAGCAGTAATAACAGTGGGAATATTGGTTTCGCCGAGGTCTAAGCGAGTCAGTAAACTGCGCCAGCGCGCCTTTAAACGTCCAAATGCACATTCTACCACCATTCTGCACTTGCTCAGCCTGTAGTTTAACAGCTCCTGACCACTGTCCAGGCTGCCTGTGTATGGCTTCATGAGCCATGGCATTAAGGGGTAGGCTGGGTCCCCAAGGATACATATAGGCATTTCAACATCCCCAACAGTTATTTTCTGGTCTGGGAATAAAGTCCCTTCCTGCAGCTTTTGAAACAGACCAGAGTTCCTGAAGATGCGAGCATCATGCACCTTTCCCGGCCATCCCACGTTGATGTTGGTGAAACGTCCCTTGTGATCCACCAGAGCTTGCAGCACTATCGAAAAGTACCCCTTGCGGTTTATGTACTCGGCGGCTTGGTGCTCCGGTGCCAAGATAGGGATATGGGTTCCGTCTATAGCCCCACCACAGTTAGGGAATCCCATTGCAGCAAAGCCATCCACTATGACCTGCACATTTCCCAGGGTCACTACCCTTGATATCAGCAGATCTTTGATTGCGTGGGCTACTTGCATCACAGCAGCCCCCACAGTAGATTTGCCCACTCCAAATTGATTCCCAACTGACCGGTAGCTGTCTGGCGTTGCAAGCTTCCACAGGGCTATCGCCACTCGCTTCTCAACTGTGAGGGCTGCTCTCATCTTGGTATTCATGCGCTTCAGGGCAGGGGAAAGCAAGTCACAAAGTTCCATGAAAGTGCCCTTACGCATGCGAAAGTTTCGTAGCCACTGGGAATCGTCCCAGACCTGCAACACTATGCGGTCCCACCAGTCTGTGCTTGTTTCCCGAGCCCAGAATCGGCGTTACACAGCATGAACCTGCCCCATTAGCACCATGATGCATGCATTGTCAGGGCCCATGCTTTCAGAGAAATCTGTGTCCATGTCCTGATCACTCACTGGACCGCACTGACGTCGCCTCCTCGCCCGGTATCGCGTTGCCATGTTCTGGTGCTGCATATACTGCTGAATAATGCGTGTGGTGGTTAATGTGCTCCTAATTGCCAAAGTGAGCTGAGCGGGCTCCATGCTTGCCGTGGTATGGCGTCCGCACAGAAAAAAGGCGCGGAACGATTGTCTGCCGTTGCTCTGACGGAGGGAGGGGCGACTGACGACACGGCTTACAGGGTTGGCTTCAGGGAGCTAAAATCAACAAAGGGGGTGCCTGTACATCAAGGAGTATTTCAGGCAGGACTGCACGGAGGGTTCCAATAAGAAATGGTGCACCTAAGTTATCGTTGTTATTGGAACAAGGAGGTTAGCCTGGCCTCTGATTGATACATGGCTAGATTTACCTCGCTGCACCTTCTCTGTGAGTGACTGCAGTGTGACCTAGAGGAATGAGTCCCCTAGACAGGGGAGGAGGCAAATGAGTACAAAACAAATCTGGTCTATTTCTTGTTTTGACCCACTCCATCTATCTTTTACATCTTTGGCTGGCAGCAGACGGTGCAGAAGGACTGCATGCCATCCACATCTCATGGCTGCTCGGCAGAAGATGGTACAGTACGACTGCTAGCCATCCCCATCTCTTGCCTGCCTGGCAGAAGATGGTGCAATACGACTGCTAGCAATCCTCATCTCTTGCCTGCCTGGCAGAAGATGGTACAGTACGACTGCTAGCAGTCCGTATCGCCTGCCCGCTCACCATAAGACGGTTCAATAGGACTGACTGCAGGACTAAAGAGAATGACCTGGTCAAGTCACTCCAAATTTAGTCCCTGCGCCCATGTCTGCCCAGGCGCTCCCAGCCGACGCGGCCAGGAGCACCTCGGACACGATGAGGACGACTACCAATCGTATTGCACCGTCTGCTGCCACAAGGCAAGGGGTTGCTGCTACTGTGCAGCAAAGCCGTACCGCGTCTGCCAGCACCCAGGAGACATAGGGTGACGGTTACCTGAGCGGGCTCCATGCTTGCTGTGGTATGGCGTCTGCACAGGTAACTCAGGAAAAAAGGCGCGAAATGATTGTCTGCCCTTGCTTTCACGGAGGGAGGGAGGGAACGGGGGCCTGACGACACGTACCCAGAACCACCCGCGACAATGTTTTAGCCCCATCAGGCATTGGGATCTCAACCCAGAATTCCAATGGGCAGCGGAGACTGCGGGAACTGTGGGATAGCTACCCACAGTGCAACGCTCCGGAAGTCGACTCTAGCCTCGGTACTGTGGAAGCACTCCGCCGAGTTAATTCACTTAATGCACTTAGAGCATTTTCTGTGGGGACACACACACTCGAATTTATAAAACCGATTTCTAAAAAACCGACTTCTATAAATTCGACCTTATTCCGTAGTGTAGACATACCCAGAATTTAGGTGTATTCTTATCACTTGGCTAGTTATAGAGGTATAAAAGAAAGAATCAAAATCACTGTCTGCCAGTGTAAGGGCCTTCTCTTACTGTGACAGTCTGAGGCCCTGTTCTTAGGCTAAGGCCTTTGGCTAAGCAACAGAGGCAGCCATAAGCTGGGAAGTGAACGGTCACGTCTTCATATTCCAAACTAGTCACATTGAAATAAGGTGCTATTGGGCTGTTAGGAATACAATCCTGTCCTGATAGTGCGTATCACCTCCAGAGAAAGGGAAGTGCCTAGAAAATGTAAAAGGAAACTTAGTTTGATAGCATCCTGTCTGGCAAGAACTCACTTATCAATAGCTGGGATGTGAAATCCTCACTTCTGTATTGTTTTGTCATTATAGTTCCCACTTTGCTATTGTTTGTCTGTATAATCTCTGTCTGGTTCTGTGATTGTTTCTGTCTGCTGTATAATTAATTTTGCTGGGTGTAAACTAATTAAGGTGGTGGGATATAATTGGTTACATAATCATGTTACAATATGTTAGGATTGGTTAGTTAAATTTCAGGAAAATGATTGGTTAAGGTATAGCTAAGCAGAACTCAAGTTTTACTATATAGTCTGCAGTCAATCAGGAAGTGGGTGGTTGGGTGGGTGGGAGGGGGAAAATTGGAATCATGTTTTGCTAAGGGCAGGAATGGGAACAGAGACACAGGTGTAAGGCTCTGTGGTGTCAGAACTGGGAAGGAGGATACTAAAGAAGGAAACAGAAATCATGCTTGCTGGAAGTTCAACCCAATAAACATCGAATTGTTTGCACCTTTGGACTTCGGGTATTGTTACTCTCTGTTCATGTGAGAAGGACCAGGGAAGTAAGTGGGTGAAGGAATAAGCCCCCTAACATATGTCAATTAATTTAGATCAGTGTTTCTCAACCTGGAGATCACAGGACAGGTTTTTTGGGGGGAGGGGGGAGGTGTCGCAAGTGCAGGGCCTACATTAGGGGTGCCAAGCAGGCTTACTGCCTGGGGCTCCACAAAGCTAAGATACACGCTTGAGCCCCAAGGAGAGGGCTCGAGCTTGAGACTCCTGAAAGGAGGAACAGTAGTTTGGAAAGGTTGAGAACCACCGGTCTAGATAAAACAATAAGACAAGTTTATTAACAGTAGAAAGAAGGTAATGACTGAGGCTATATCTACACTATGCAGTGTTTAGCGACACAGCTGTGCTGTTAAAAGACGTGCAGCCTAGCCACTGCTTGTCGGCAGCTCTCCTGCTGAGAGAAACTTCCACCTAAACGAGTGGCATTAGCGTTTTACAAAGCGCTGTTCACACCGGCACTTCTTGTCAACAAAACTTCTGTCTTTCGGGGGCGGGAGTGGTTTTTTTTTTTTTTAAACATCTCTGAACGACAAAAGTGGTGTCTTTCACTTGCCTGTGTAGACAAAGCTTGAATCTTTCAGCCAAGATCCCTCCCCCAGTCCGGAGCTGTTTAATTTGTTCTTCAGGTGTTATGGAAACCGTGGGTAGAAAGGAGGAACAGATAATTTGGGGCATCTCCTTTCTCCTCTTTGAGGATCATCTCCAGCTGAGGTTCAGGAGACAAAGTCTGTGTGGACAGAACCCCCAGCTGTTTCTTTTTGTCAAGATGTAGATTTTTGCCCACATCCTCTTTCCTGCCAAAGGGTGGCCACTTAATCAGGTGATAGTCCATTTGATCTTGCTGACATCTGGCTGAGGTGTCGGCTAAACTTGTGTCTCTGGGGAACTGGTTTGACTCTTCCCCAGACTTGGAACATTGCTGTGTTAATATCATATAGCAGAATCCTATAACTTTATATACATCACCACCACATATTTTACCAGAACAATAATGATCAGTAAATTATGAGTTTTCAAATGATACCTCACAAGGCATACTTTGTACGAAATTTATCATAGTGTTGAAAAAGGGGTGAACATAGGGGTACATGCTGTCAGAGGGATACGTACCTTGGGGCAAGTCTGTGTGCAGTTCATGATGGTATGACAGCGGTAGAGGGAAAATGGGTCCTCAAGCTGTGCCAGACGTTCTTCTGTGTAGTCATCTCTGGAGTCAATCATCCAGCGATATGCCTGAAAAGCAGAGCGTTACTGGGCATGCTGTATCCTTCCATACTTGGAAAAAAGCATTTGATTAAAGATACATATCAAAAGCATGATTTAACTTAAGGCTTTCAGTGCGGAGTCTAAATCACTTCCTTTAATATGCTGCAAAAATCCAACTACTTCTTTAAAATCTTGGGTGCAATTGTTATTGGAAGTAATTAGTTAAAATATCTGGAAATTGTTGCAATAGCTAATGTGATCTTTCATCAATGGAACAGTGATTAATTTGCTTCCTCTGCCAGTGCAATATGTTCAGTGCATTAGCATGACAGGTAAGATGAAGATGAAAACTACTAAGTAGTTTTCATCTTCAAGGCACTTTAGAAAGTGTTATTTGCTCAGAACACCCATGTGAGGTAAGCAAGTATTACTATCATTTTAACACCACAGGCAAGGAAACTGAGGGAGAAAAATTAGAGAAAATATAGTCACAGAGAGAGCGTCTCAGAGCTGGAATTTGAACTCAGGAATTCCTGGCTTTCTATCTTGTGCTCACAGTCTCTCTCTCTCCACAATGTATTATATTCAGTACTGACCCACTGATCTTTTGGAACAAGCCAGGAAGTGGGTTTAATACCCTTCTTTGGAATGAGGGAAAAAAAAGGGGATCTCTAAAGGACAGTAAAGAACATGACCCAGTTAGTCTATGTGTATCATCCAGAAGAGCAAGCCAGCCTCTGGTAAGCAGTGGAAAAACAAGATACCTTCTATTTGTGCCTTACTGCTCTTCAGGCTGTTAGATAATGAAAAACGCTTATTACCTAACCCTTAAGTAGTATCACAAGGCCTTTCATAACATCTGTATCATGCCCCATCCACACTGTTCACAACAAGCAGGGCTTAGAGTGAATAACCAACACTAACTGGGGATGAATTACACAGGATTAGAGAGAGGTGCATCCCCGTGTGGGGCTACTGACTTTTCAAAATTTATTTTCATAAAATATCAAGGTTGGAAGGGACCTCAGGAGGTCATCTAGTCCAACCCCCTGCTCAAAGCAGGACTGATCCCCGACTAAATCATCCCAGCCAGGGCTTTGTCAAGCCTGACCTTAAAAACTTCTAGGGAAGGAGATTCCACCACCTCCCTAGGTAACGCATTCCAGTGTTTCACCACCCTCTTAGTGAAAAAGTTTTTCCTAATATCCAACCTAAACCTCCCCCACTGCAACTTGAGACCATTACTCCTTGTTCTGTCATTTGCTACCACTGAGAACAGTCTAGAGCCATCCTCTTTGGAACCCCCTTTCAGGTAGTTGAAAGCACCTATCAAATCCCCCCTCATTCTTCTCTTCCGTAGACTAAACATCCCCAGTTGCCTCAGCCTCTCCTCATAAGTCATGTGTTCCAGTTCCCTAATCATTTTTGTTGCCCTCTGCTGGACTCTTTCTAATGTTTCCACATCCTTCTTGTAGCGCGGGGCCCAAAACTGGACACAGTACTCCAGATGAGGCCTCACCAGTGTCAAATAGAGGGGAACGATCACGTCCCTCGATCTGCTGGCAATGCCCCTACTTATACAGCCCAAAATGCCATTGGCCTTCTTGGCAACAAGGGCACACTGTTGACTCATATCCAGCTTCTCGTCCACTTTAACCCCTAGGTCCTTTTCTGCAGAACTGCTGCCGAGCCATTCGGTCCCTAGTCTGTAGCGGTGCATTGGATTCTTCCGTCCTAAGTGCAGGACTATGTACTTGTCCTTGTTGAACCTCATCAGATTTCTTTTGGCCCAATCCTCCAATTTGTCTAGGTCCCTCTGTATCCTATCCCTACCCTCCAGCGTATCTACCACTCCTCCCAGTTTAGTGTCAAATATATTTTATAGTGTTTTAATATATTTAAGGTTATTTACTAAATCCCCTTGCTCTTGAGCTCTGAGTAAACAAGACCCCCTTAAAAGGATTTACAGTGCCACATTGCACATTTCCACTGGCTTCAGAAAAAGGGGAAGTGCCAGAAAGTAACTCAACAACCCTGTTTTATCAAACACCATCATGCCGCCCTGCCCCCGCCCCGCCCCTCCCCCACGACACAGCAGTTACCTTCTTCTTACCTGCATAAGCACTGCAGGGCCCAGGTATTTGTCTCCATTCCACCAGTAACTGGGGCAGCTGGTACTGCAGCAGGCACATAGAATGCACTCATAGAGTCCGTCCTGAATACAAATGGGAGAAAGGAGAGCCAGCAATGCAAGACATTATCTATGAAACAATTCTTCTGAAAGGTGATCTTCACAGACATGTGCTTCCCTGGCCACCCTCTTCCCCCTTGTGACTTCCTACTTCCATATGTTCCCATGCTAAGTGTGGTAAAGGACCAGTTTCTGCACTTGCAGAGAGATTCCTGTCAGTTGGTGCTTTGAAACAGGAAACCAGGGATCCTTTACTTATGGCTGTATTGTAATAAGATTCTTTGTGGAGGAAGGGGGCAATGAAAATAGTGGGGGAGTAGGAGAAGTGGAAGAGAAAACAATGCTTACATTCCAACAGCTTGTTTCATGCAGGCCACACTGGGCTTGTAAGGAAAAGCATGGAAGCATCAAGAGCTGATCATAGCTCAAGTCAACATTCCCAGGAGGAGAAGGAAATAGTGAAGGCTACCAAAAGAGGAGGGCAAAACCACTAAAGAACAGAAGTGGTATTTTACCATGTGTTTTGAACAGATCCACAAATACAACTTAGGGCAGTCATACCATCCCCTGCTCTCCCAGCCACAACATGAAGCTACTTCTATATACAAAACACTGGAGTTGTGTTTTTCCTTTAACTATTTGCTGGAGCATCACAGGATCCGGCACATTATATGAAAACAGATAATTATCGTATCCTGACTGTTCAGAGTTCCATTTATTAGGGACACTGAGAGAAAGAAAAAAGAAAAAAAGGAGATGTACTATACAGTATGGCACTGGACCTCTAGGCCAGTGTAGACACAACGCCTGTAGCTAGGAACACAATAGTCCATTATTTCATAGTAGAACTCCCAAGCGTAGACTATGGATGAACACAAGTCAGGAAGCGTCCTCTGATAAGTAAGAAAAAATAAAAGTAATAGGGTCATTTTTGTAAGAGGGTCCTCTATGTCCTTCCCCCCACCTCAGGTTAAAGGGTGTTGCTTGATCTGATTTAAACTTCATTTCTGAGTATTGCTTCTTGGGGATACACTCTAACTGGGCTCCCCTTTTAAAGAACGAACCCTATTTGCACAGGACTGCAATTCTGAAGGTTTTTGAATTAAAAATACAAGAATAAATTTATCAGCGAAGAGGAGCAATAAAATAAGTCTACAGGAGAAGAGATGGGTTGTACTGCAGTGAAATCCTTCCAAATGTAGGAAGTATCAAACTCATTTTCAATACTTCAGCTATATTTTCCTAAAAAATTGAAGCTTAAGTTTCAAGAAGCTAATCAGAGTTTGTGGTAAAAGTGCTGTATGACTGGAGAAAAGGATTCAATGTATTTTTGGAAGACTTAAAAGGACAAAGTCAAACTGAAATTAGCTTCTTTCTCAAAACTTTTACCAGTTAGTAGTAATACCCGAGATTATAAGAAATAAAAGATTTGAGAAAAATGTTTTGTTTTTTCAGTTTACTTTGTGCATTTGACACCACATCGTGCCTGGTCAGTTTTGCTTTGTGTAGGTTTTCATAAAGCAAGATAAGAATTTTTTTTAGAAAAAACAGCAAAACCCGAAACACTGGTAGTATCAGACTCCAGCACTGTATAGCAACTGAAAAGACCTTTAATTCATTTTTTTTAAACTGATGAGATTTCAAATGGATGCCACTTTATAAAAGGAAAGCTGACAGGACTTTTAATTTAATCATCCCATATACAGATGGCACCATGGCATCTTTTCCATACCCTAATCCAGACTTTCAGACCTTTGGATGGGAAATTCTGGGGTTTTGTTAAACAACGTACAGTAAAAGCTTTTTTATCTGGCATGCTGGGGGAATGGGGGGTGCCGGTAAGTGAAAAATTCCAGTTAACTAAGAGGGAAGGAGTTTGGGTGCGGGAGGGGGTTGGGGCGTGGGAGGGGATGCAGGACACGGGCTCCAGGAGGGAGTTTGGGTGGAAGCTCGGGACAAGTGCACAGTAGGGGCTTTGGGGTGCTGGATCTGGGGGCGCTTACCTTGGGTGGCTCCCCACAAGTGGTGAACTGTCCCTGCTGCTCTTAGGTGGAGGCGCGGCAGGCGGCTCTGCATGCTACCCCTGCCCCGTGCTGAACGCTGGCTCTGCAGCTCCCATTGACCAGGAACTGCATCCCCTCCCACACACCAAACCCCTCGTGGCTGTTCCTTTGCCTAGGAGCAGCAGGAACATGTCACTGCTTCTGGGGAGCTCCAGGTAGGGAGCCTGCCAGCCCCGCGCCAACTGGATTATAAACTGAACTTTTTATGAAGATTAGAAACACCGGTTCAGAGAGCTTTCCAGTTGGTACAAGGCTGGATAAACACACCTTTTTCTGTACTGGTATTTTATGGTACCACTGACATTTTTAGCAGTCATATGATGGCTTCATATGTCAGAAACACTGGAAATTTTCAGATATTCCTTTAGAAATGATATCCTGTTATTTCTCACATGTTTTTAAACAATTTCTTAGGGTTGTTTTGTTTGTTTTTTAAAAAAGGAATATTTGCAGTTCAAACTAAGCCCTCTTTCACTTCTTTGGACAACCTAGCCCATCTGCTCCTCCTTGATACTGCAGTGATATTGCAAATGCAACACCATGGTATTGGCCATAGCAACAGACCAATGTCCCTAGCACAGAATTATAACTTGATAACAGGATCTTTCCAGACAGGCTGGGGTGTGAAGAGAAAAAACCTGTATTTTTCCACCAACTGTAGCAAAAGGGGAAACCTACAGAAAGTTACTGGCAATGTAAAATGTTCTCTCTCGAAATGTTTTCTTTTTTACTTCAAGGCTTTTCCAGTGGGCAAATCTCTTTAAAGGCCCTCCCATCTTCAATCCTAGCTGTCAACAGTGTAAAGCCCCCAAAGGGCTTACTTACCTGGGAAAACAACAGTGTGTTAAAACATGACCAACAAAGACTCATGGTACCTTATACAATATTAACTGTGGCTTAACACCATGGCTATGTCCACAATGCCAAAAACATGTGTTTTCACACTGAGCTAGCTAACGTGCATTAGCTATTTCCCTGTAAAATCCTAGTGGAAACAAGGCACTGTCGTTTTTACCATGATGTAGTCAGCTGAGGTCTAACTTGGATAGGGGGTATAGAGTTGACCACACCAAGCTACGTCAAGGTAATACCTACAAAGCCTAGTCTCACCTCGCTGTAAAATCACAGAGATCTAATGCATGTTATCTTGATATAAAAAAAGCAAAAACAAAAAACCACAAAAACATTTTTCTTTGGCAGCGAAGACAAAACCTCAGTGCAGACAGCTGATCTGATGTTTAAGTCCGTGTCTACACTGCTTGTTTTCCCATCATGTTAGACTACAACCCATAGGAGTTGTGGTAACTAACACTATGTAGTTAGTTTCCCCATGCAGACAAACCCACAGAATCCACATTCCAGCCAATCAATTCCCACCACATAAGGGAATCTCTGAAAGGATTCTAGCAGGGATGTGAAATGACTGCACCTTCCACTCTGCACCTACCTCTAAGGAACAGCCCTGACTTACATACGACGACAGACTTGTTAAAATATCTAACCTAATTCTTATATGGATGAAATTAAAGCACCGGGGTGGGGGGGAATAAAACATGAGTATTAACCAGTTTCTGACGATCTTCTATAGACTGCAGATACTGTTCTTTGCCCTGATTCGATTCATCCCTCTTCTTCAGGTAAGGCTCAATGGTTTTGTACTGAGCATAGAAGTTACTCATGTCCTGAGTTTAAACAAAAAGACAAAAATTATTTTACTAACTATTTACTATGATTTGTACTAGCAAGAGATCAGACATTCTGTATGCACATTCAGGCAAAATAAGTGTTGCATTTGCCCCTTTAACTTCCCACTTCCTATTTAACAGTAACAGGTGTAACCACTGGCTATGAAGCTACAGGAATAAGGAATCAGTTACTCAGCTCTCTCTGCCCCAGCTCTCATTGTTCTGTCACAAAATTTTTTAGAAAGACATTATATAAAGGTACGAATTTTGGAATGATCTCTCAGCAGCGTGCCACTCTATCCCTGAAAACCACGGTATAGCCTGAAACACTGTCATCCGTGGTCCCACAAATCACAAGAGAGGCAGAAACTCACCGGAACGAGATCCTTTACCACATACATATGGGGGAGAGGGTAGATTTTGGAGACCTTGCTAAGGTTGGTGTCAATTCTTTTGGTACAGGCCAGGGTGTTCCCACCATTGATGTTCATAGCGCAGGAGCCACAAATGCCTGAGAAGGAGAGAAGAGACTAATGGAGCATTGGACTTGTATCCTTTCACCCTCTTGGTGGGGCCTTCTTGCCCCAAACTACCCCTTTCTCCCAGCCATTATGCCATCTTAAAAGCTAGTGTAGTTGTCACTCTTCTACCAGAAGAAAGATCAGAATTCTCTTGGGATCTCATTCAAAGCCACTCTTGTGCCAGCCAGAAGTGTCACTGTTTAACAATGAAACAGGCTCCATCAGACTTCCATCAAGAGATGACTATGTTGGGTCTGTAGCAGAAGCTGGCAAATTCAGGGTTGACAAAGGTAAGGTAATGCACATTGGAACGAGTAATATGAACTACACATACACATTACCAAGCTGTAGCTATGCAGGAAATAGATTTGGGTGTAACTGTGGACAGCTCCCTGGAAGTTTCTGTGCAATGTGGAACAGTGTTCAAAAAACACACGCAAGCAAAATATATTTGAGGCTCTACAAAGAATGGAATGGAAACTATTAAGATTATAGTATCTTTATATAAAATCCATCACACCCCCGCAGCTGGAGTACTGTGTTCAGATCTGGTCACTCCATCCCTAAAGGGATGTAGCAAAGACAGAAGGGGGCCTAATACAGGTGACCCAAAAACCAAAGAAGACTGAAGGCACAGTGAACTTCGATACAGGGGAAGATTGAAACAAATTGGGATGGCGTAGCTTAGAAGAGAGACATGACAGAAGATTATAAAATAATGAATGGTATACAGAAGGTATATTGGACGCTGCTATTTATCTTTCCACAATTTAAGAACGGGAAAGCCAGTGAAACTGAAAAGCAACCATTTTAAGCCTAACAAAAGGAAACACTTTTTTGCACTGGTAATAGATTCTGTGGAACCTGTCCCAAATATCACCGAGACGAAGAGATTTAGTGTTCCAAAGAGGGATTCACTTTTTATACGGACACAAAAATTTTAAGGGGCATAAAGCCCAAGTTTAGGGGATAAGCCAAACAGTAACTAACAGGTTAAGGAGCTTCCTTTGTTTATTCTATTATGCGGATTCTTGAACTGTTCTCAGAAGCATGTGATACTGGCCACTTTTAGACAGGGTACTGGACTAGCTGGACCACTAGTTGGATCTGTGTGGAATTCCTGCACCCTCTGACAGCCCAGCAAGCTATCAATAGGGACTGGAGAGCAAAACAATGTATGTGGCAGAAGAGGACATATATTAGGTCAGCCCAACACGATATGGGACTGTTAAACTTTTAAAGAACAATATTCAAAGCAACTACTTCCAAATGCATAGGGAACTGAACTGAGAGTAAGCACCACCTCTTAGGTATTTGTTTCCTCAACACCAGATTCTGAAAGCAACTGCACAGTGTGAAATTCCTCGTTGTGATATCCAGAGTCAATACTGGGCAACAACATTTAAAACCAGATGTCTTTTAGACAGTTCTGGGGAAAAGATTGTAGTACTTGAGACTAAACAGAAATCTATTCCCCTTCCGTTTGTTTCTGGTTTTTATTTGCAACCTTGTATAATTAGTTAAAAATGAGGACTCTGCCCCTTTCAACCCATCTTTCTGTCCCATGCCATCACAGCACAACTGTTCCCAGGTCAGCACACTGACGTTACTAACAGAATTATGGTCTCACCCTGGGACTGAGCAAGAGAAGCTAGGCTGGATAACAGAGAAGCTACAAAATCAACATGGTACTCATTAAATGGATAAAAAATTGGCTAGCTGATATATCTCAAAAAGTAATTGTGAATGGGAAATTGCCATCAACTGGGAGCGTTTCTAGAGGGTCCCACAGGAGACTGGCTCTTGGCCCAACACTATTCAATATTTTTATCAAAGACCAGGAAGAAAAAGAGATAACTGATAAAGTTTGTAGACTACACAAAGATTGGTGGAATGGTAAATAATGACAAGATAGGTAAATGATACCGAGCGATCTGCATCACTTAGTAAGCTCGGCGCAAGAGAACAGCATGTGTGTTTCAAGACAGTCAAATCAAAGACCTAAGAACGAAGAGCCTAGGCCACATTTAAAGGATAAAGGGCTACTCTGGGAAGCAGGGACTTTGAAAAAGACTAGGGGTCATGACGTATAATCAGCTGCACATGATACTTACATAGAATCATAGGGTTAGAAGGGACCTCATCTCCTAGTGCGACACTGTGACTAAAAGGGCTAACGTAATCCTTGGATGTATAAACAGGAGAATATTAACTACAAGTAGAGAGGTTATATTACCTCTGTATTTTACACTCAGGTGACTGCTACTGGAATACTCTGTCCAGTGCTGGTGTCCACATTTCAAGAAGAACATTGGAAAAATTGGAGAGGGTTCAGAGAAGAGCTGAAAAAATGACTGAAAGATTGGGAAAAAAGCCTTACAGTGAGACTCAAAGACTTCTACCTACTTAATTTATCAAAGAGAATAGACTAAGGGATGACTTGATTAAGGTGTATAATTACCTACATGGGGAACAGAAATTTGATATTAGAGGGATGGCTCTTCAATCTAGCAGACAAAGGTAATGGATGGAAGTTGAAGCTAGACAATTCGGACTAGAAATAATCTGCAAATATGGAACAGCGAGGGCAACTAGCCACTGGAACCATTTACCAAAGATTATGGTGGATTTTCCATCACTGGACATTTTAAAATCAGGATTGGATGTTTTTCTAAAAGATCTGCTCTAATTCTAACAGGAATTAATTCAGGGAAGCGCGTGTTCTATAAGAGGTCAGGCTAGATGAACACAGTGGTCCCTTCTGGACTTATAGTATATGAAATATTTGCAAAACCAGAAACAATTCTTGGCCAATTACCCTCCTGCATTCTAGCACACACAAAGGAAGACAACAGAAGTGGCTTTTAAAATCATCAAGGTTGATTTTCCCCCGACGCTAATTATTTAACCTGGTCAAGAGTGAAAAATCCTTCAATCATTCCCAGCAAACAAAACAAAACTCAGGAGCAATAATTTTGACTGATGTACTGAGATTGAAACAAAGTTATTTGATAACTTTCCTCTATGAATGAACCTAGCACTTGAACCTGACAGATGTCAAGTGCCCTGTACTTAATAGCATCAGAGGCAGTATAGTATACGAAGGTAGGGTGACCAGATGTCCCAATTTTGGGGTATTTTTCTTATATAGGCTCCTATTACCCCCACCTTCATCCCGATTTTTCACACTTGCTGTCTGGTCACCCTATACTAAGGTCTATCCTGAGTTGTTCTCCTGGACATAGGATATCCACTCTCATCATCCACTTTTGTTTAGATGAGTATCTTCTCAGAACCCAGTGTGTCAAATGATCCACAACATAACTGATTTTATAATTCATTATAAAAAGAGCACCTCACCTTCCCTACATGATCTGCGGAAGGTCAGAGTGGAGTCCATCTCATTTTTTATCTTGATCAGCGCATCAAGTACCATAGGCCCACACCTATAATGGAAACCAGTCACTTTAATAAACCTGCATATTCCCCACAGCCCAGCTATTTCCTTTCCACTCTTTTCACACATTAGATTCTGGAAACAAAGTTACTTGTCTGACCTTGTTTGCAACAACTCCCTCTTTGCTCTTGATGAAATTCTGAAGAGATTCATTTCCTTATTTGAGGAGCAGTATCTGCACCCCCCAGCTATCGGCCTATATGTCTGTTGTTACAGAACAGAGATCCTACAAAAACTGGATTTTTTATTCTTCGCATTTCTATTAGGAAATGCCTATCAAATATACTAAGGATAAAAATTCTAAATACAATAGCTTGCCCATTTAAACCAATCCCAAGTGACAAAATATATATCACCCAATCAAATAAAACACAGATACTACCCCATGTGCTTTAATACACCCCCTCACCAAAATTCCTGGGGGGTACGAAGCCACCAAAAAACCAGATGAGCTTCGCACTGTGCCCCAAAGATCAATAACTCTGGCTGGGTTGGACAGTGAGGAGGCTTTCATTGTAAATGACCTTGCTACAGACTCCTCCCCTTTAAATCAATTATGAGTTTATTATTATGAGTTTCAGTGTCCTCATTAAGCATAAATGAGGCGATAATACATAAGGAAAACCAGGTCTCAAAATCATTCAAGTATGTAATAAATAGGTTTATGTAATAGGTAAGAAACAAAATTCCACCCAGAAACTAGTCAGAAGCCAATGCTGACTACAGAGTAGCAACAGTCAGCTCTCTCCGCGAGATTTTTTTTTAATAAGCATGTGGCTACGTTCTGCATTAGTTTAGAATTTCAGAATAGACTTAAATGGAACCCAAGTAGTGTGCAATGGATCCTGAGGAAACAGAGGCACAGGTGTTTGTACCAAGGTTCCTTCCTACATCCCAGAGGAAAGGCTGCACACTTCTTGCTAACTGCAGAGGGAAAAAGTGTTCTTGGCCACAGCTACCACTTGAGCATCTCTAATACAACCCCAAGCTGCAAACCCAAGTGATAAATGGCAGGCACACATGCTCACTTTGAGAGGAGCTGATGTAACCTCCATAATTTCTGCTGGATCCTTCTCTTGATATACCAGCATGAGCTGTACATGCAGCATGGTTCCACTTTGGAATATACATGGAAACTTTATCATGTACTCCAAAACATGTTAAAACCTTGGATGTGTTTGCGTTTCTAGTATGGCTTGGGGACATTTGAGGGTCTCATGTACATTCTGAAATTGAACTATCCTTTTAATCATCTTGAGAGACACCTGTGTTGGACTCCTCTGGACACAGTTCTACTTATCACGTTCTGGCCCTGTGTTACCATCAGGTTAAAGGAATTGTACTACATGGTTGTACCTTTACTTCCTTTACCTGGTGACAACATTATCTGGTCCCATCTACACTGGCAAAATCAAGCTTGTTATAACATGATTGAGACACGTCTGTACGGTAACTGATCATCCTAACATAGCTTGAATGATCATGTAAAACTAATACAGCTGCTATGACCTTTAATTAACAGCTACAGAGTGACTAAATTAAACCCACGTCTAGAGTCTCAAAGGATTTACACCACTCCAAAGCTGACAGAGGAAAAGGCATCTCTGTGGAGCAGCACGCTGGGGTCAGCATCCATATAATTTGACATGCATACTCACTTATTCAGATCAATTTCATAGGTCTGCATGTGCGGCTTGTCCCCAGGCTTGTCTGGATCCCATCTATAGATAGCAAACGTCTTGATACGTGGGGCTACGGCCTGAACAGCGGGTGCTGCTGCAGCTGCTGTCTGTGCTCCACGGCAGGCCTATGCTCAAACAATGACAACACAGCCCCTTAGATTTCCTTCGTGTATTTTTCTAGACAACACATGTTGGGTTGGGAAGAGATTTATTTTGCTGCCTAGCGATTAAAGCAAGATTTCTGTAGTCAGGAGCCCAGGATCGACCACTGACTTACTGTGTTGCCTTCAACAGGCGTCCACCTCAGCATTTTCATTTTCTAATTAAACAGACAGAGATAATACTTACGCCTTACCCACATACCTGCTACAGTTTCCAACACTGCTAACATCAGAGGAGAATTACAGATCCAATTTTGGGTCGCGTAACCACCACATATAACGTCTACAGGGCGTAGCCTATCTAGATGTCCATTACTTACTCATATATTTTTGGCATAAATCGGTAGAGAGCACCATGACCAACCTAGAGGACTTGCAGTGGGGAAGGTTTAGATTGGATATAAGGAAAAACTTTTTCACTAGGAGGGTGGTGAAACACTGGAATGCGTTACCTAGGGAGGTGGTAGAATCTCCTTCCTTAGAGGTTTTTAAGGTCAGGCTTGACAAAGCCCTGCCTGGGATGATTTAACTGGGAATTGGTCCTGCTTCGAGCAGGGGGTTGGACTAGATGACCTTCAGGGGTCCCTTCCAACCCTGATATTCTATGATTCTATGACTTTAAAAATGATTCACGTGCCTCTCAAAAACCTCATTTTTAGCCAAACAGAACAGCTGTCACCAAAGTCGCCGACGTGTCCCTGGTGGCCCCAAATCTACCCAGCCTCGCAGCGCCCGCCCCTATTTCACAGAGAGAGAAACTGAGGCACTGAAAGGGGAAATGATTTGCCCAAGATCAGACGTTAAGTCAGTGACGATGACGGGGGAGCCCCCAACCCACTCCCAGGGGGCGATGAGGGGGGGCCTGGCAGAGGCGCGATGGGGGCAGGAGACCCAGGCAGGGCACTACCAGGAGACTCTTCACTCCTGGATTCCCTCGGCCCCTTTCCCCTCACAGCCCCCTGGCAGCTCCCCACCTCCTCCCCTCTGGGCCCAGCCCCCGACCCGCTCCCTGACGTATCCGCCCGCCGGGCCCCCCTCACCTGCCGCGCGGCCGCCCACAGGGTCACCGCGGGCACGCAGCGCTTCAAGGAGACGCCGACTACGGCCGCCGCCATCTTGGGCGTGGACACCCACCGCGAAACGGGCCGCCACAATCCCACAGGCCACCGCGACGGAACAGGAAAGGACACTGCTTTCCCTAAAGACCACAGAGCCGCGACTAGGCGGCCATACTGGGAGTGGCTAAGTAGGGAGACAATGGAAGGGCCTATGGGGAGGGGCTGAACCGCTGAGGAGCGATGGAGCCAATGGGAAGCCACATTGGGAGCGCGAGAGGGCAGAGAGCGCCAATGGGAGGCCACATTGGGAGAGGCCGCCGGCAGATGGAGCCAATGGGAGGCCAGATTGGGAGTGGCCCCGTGCAGATAGAGCCAATGGGAGGCCATATTGGGAGAGGCTCAGGAGATAGCGCCAACAGGCGGCCATATTGGGAGTGGCGGGTGACTGGTTGATGACTACGCAGTTGGCTGATTCAGAAGAAGGTCTGATGAAGTTGGTGGAGAAGACTATGAATGGCAGAATAGGGTCTAGAATTGAATGTGGCCCAGGCAAAAACTCCGGTAGTTTGCAAGGATCCTGGGAAACCACGAAAGATCACAGTGATCAACATGGCGGTTCAGCAATGTGGATGATGGAAGATCGGGATCCTGAAGCCAGCACCAGACTAGCAAGAGCGAAAGAGACATTCCGGAAGCATAAACGTCTGATGAGATGGTACATAAATCTGAATCAGACTCTTAAAAACGTACATTTGGTCTGTGTTAAATTACAGCTGTGAAACAAGGACTTTCAAACAGTCGATAATACAGACGGCACAAGCGGTCGTGCTATAGAAGAATTCTGAAAATACTCTGGGTAGACCAAGTAATCAACTAAAAAGTATTGGACATGACTGGAAAACTGCAAATGCTAGTCAGAGATTTGATGAAAAGAAAAATTCGATTTGCAGGGCACATTTTAAGAGGTTCAGTGCATAATACATGTCTACGGGCACAAGAAGGGAAAGTTGATGGCAGAAGAACACAAGGCAGAAAAAGATCTTGGAGGAGCAATGTGCTATCCTGGGTGGATTAAAAAGGATTGTTCATCCACAAAGATTAGCAGAGGATCATTCAGAATAGTCTGTCATGGTTGCAAACCACCAGTAATGGAGATGCCACATAACAAGAAGAAGACTGGGAGTGGCTGAGGAGAGATGGAGCCATTGAGAAGCCAACTTGGGAGTGGCTCTGGAGAGTGCTGGAGGCAGACCCTGGAGCATCCATGCCTCACAATATAAGGACACATTGGTGACTTGCTAGGAGCCCACCAACTGCTCCTACTTGGCGTAAAATGAAGGAGATTCCACCTGCCTTTAGTACAGTGGTATGGCACCAAGGGCATGGGGCTGTGACAGGATCCTTTGAGTCTCATCTTCAGACTCTGTTAACACATTGGGAAAATGATGGCATCTTTAATCAGTGACGGCAGCAGGGACTGTGCAGTTATCACCAGGGACAGATCTCAGTTTCGGGATGTCACCTTTGAGATACAAATAACCACGACATCCGGGACAATCCTGAGCCCATAAAATCAGATAGCTGGTCTGACAGTGTGCACCGAGCACCCGTACAGATTTCTGGGGACAGATACTTCAAAAAGGGGATGATCTAGGGAAAGCGTGGACAGGTAGCAACCCTATCTCAGGCCCTACTCTTCCCAAAGTGCAGTCCTTCTACCAGGAGGTACAGCAGAACCTCCTTTTACTACAGTAGCATTAGGGCTTCTAGGCCTCCCACTGCTAGAGCGTAAAAGGTCACAAGTACATGAGAAAGTCTGACATTCCGTCCCTTGGAGGTCAGCGGTGACATGTGGTGGCGATTGGACATCTAACATAGTGAATGCCAGTGAAAATGAGGTAGGATCAGAGTCTAAAACAGGGAAAGAACAAGTCAAATATTACTTAGACAAGTTAGATGTCTTCAGATCACCAGGGCCTGATGAAATGCATCCTAGACTACTCAAGGAGCTGATTGAGGAGATACCTGAGCCATTAGCAATTATCTTTGAAAAGTCATGGAAGATGGGAGATATTCCAGAAGACTGGGAAAGGGCTCCAGGATGAAGACTGTGAGTGAGAACTTCACTTCTCTGGCACAATGGAACTATCTACAATAAGGGTAAAGCCCATCTGTGTGGGAGACAGAACTTTCTTCGGGGCTGGTCCAAGATTAGAATAAAATCCCCCCAGGAACTAAAAACCATCACCTTCCCCACTCCATGTGCCAGAGGCATGTCTTTGACCTGCCTTCTCTAACTTAAATATTTAGCAACATTAAAAAATAATCCAAAACAAGACACTCCTCTGTACACACATCTCCCCCTGGGGAGAGAAAGAGAGAACAAATGTGACAGATGTCAGACAGATTACTTAATGCCCTGCTGGAAGGTGCTCAAATGCCACGGTGTTGAGTGTGGTATAAGAACCTATATAGAATAGAACAGAAAAGATAAGATTAGGACACTATGGGGTTGTTTTAATACTTTAAAGGAGATTTGCACTGGAAAAAACTTTCAACAACATCAGATTTAAACTTGGATGTGTTTTGTGTTTTGGATGTTTTCTATAATTTTGCTTGGAACTTGTTGTTGAGGCTAAATTCTGTTCACATGCTCATAAGGGCATGTTCTCCCCCTCATTGCATCTAGTCCACATAGTGGAGCAGCAACGTCATAGTACTGAGTTTAAGAACGTAAGAACATAAGAATGGCCCTACTGGGTCAGGCCAAAGGTCCATCTAGCCCAGTATCCTGTCTTCAGACAGGGCCAATGCCAGGTGCCCCCGAGGGAATGAACAGAACAGGGAATCATCAAGTGACCCATCCCCTGTCATCCATTCCCAGTTTCTGGCAAACAGAGGCTAGGGACACTTTTCCCGCCCATCAGTCATTTCTGCAGCCATCAAGCTGAGATGTGCTAAATACTGATGGATTCTGACTCTGCTGCATGATCAAGCAGAGGGAGATGCTGGGATGAGATGGAGAAAGTTGCCATTGATACACACCTGCTGTGTCAGGGTGCTGTTAGCATCTATAAAATGAGCCCTACTACAACAGCTACCATCTAATAGTCAAAAGAGAGAGGTAGAACTCACTCAGCCCGTAGTTGCTAAAAAGCTGGCGTAGACCCCCAAGTGGGTTTTTCTCATGTGTTTCTTTGCTTATAACTCGGCACACTGCAGGCTTGCCTGCACTGTAGAAAGAATCATTGCTAACAACAGGTGTCAGCACAGAGGACGCTGCTGAACCTGTGCATGACAGTAGAACCTCAGAGGTATGAGACCAGGATTACGAACTGACCAGTCAAACACACACCTCATTTGGAACCGGAAGTATGCAATCAGGCAGCAGCAGAGACCAAAAAAAAAAAACAAAAACAAAAGGCAAATACAGTAAGGTACTGCATTAAACATAAACTACTAAAATAATAACAGGGAACATTTTAAAAAAGATTTGACAAGGTAAGGAAACTGTTTCTGTGCTTGTTTCATTTGAATTAAGCTGATTAAAAGCAGCATTCTTCTTCTGCATAGTAAAGTTTCAAAACTGTATTAAGTCAATGTTCAGTTGTAAACTTTAGAAAGAACACCCATAACGTTTTGAACAGAGTTACGAACATTTCAGTGTTTTGCACAACCTCCATTCCCGAGGTGTTCGTAACTCTGAGGTTCTACTGTACATGGTTTTACTGTACATGTAACAATGCTGAATATCTGCCTACACTGAGCAGTCTGATCAACTGCACTCTTTGCTGACACCTGTTGGTAGCACAGGGTATTTTTGGTAGGATAGATGGTATTTAAGGGCATGTCTACACTACGGAATAAGGTTGAATTTATAGAAGTCGGTTTTTTAGAAATCGGTTTTATATATTCGAGTGTGTGTGTCCCCACAGAAAATGCTCTAAGTGCATTAAGTGCATTAACTCGGCGGAGCACTTCCACAGTACCGAGGCTAGAGTCGACTTCCGGAGCGTTGCACTGTGGGTAGCTATCCCACAGTTCCCGCAGTCTCCGCTGCCCATTGGAATTCTGGGTTGAGATCCCAATGCCTGATGGGGCTAAAACATTGTCGCGGGTGGTTCTGGGTACATATCGTCAGGCCCCCCGTTCCCTCCCTCCCTCCGTGAAAGCAAGGGCAGACAATCGTTTCGCGCCTTTTTTCCTGAGTTACCTGTGCAGACGCCATTCCACGGCAAGCATGGAGCCCGCTCAGGTAACCGTCACCCTATGTCTCCTGGGTGCTGGCAGACGCGGTACGGCATTGCTACACAGTAGCAGCAACCCCTTGCCTTGTGGCAGCAGACGGTACAGTACAACTGGTAGCTGTCATCGTCATGTCCGAGGTGCTCCTGGCCATGTCGGCTGGGAGCGCCTGGGCAGACATGGGCGCAGGGACTAAATTTGGAGTGACTTGACCAGGTCATTCTCTTTAGTCCTGCAGTCAGTCCTATTGAACCTTCGCATGCGTAAGGGCACTTTCATGGAACTTTGTGACTTGCTTTCCCCTGCCCTGAGGCGCATGAATACCAAGATGAGAGCAGCCCTCACAGTTGAGAAGCGAGTGGCGATAGCCCTGTGGAAGCTTGCAACGCCAGACAGCTACCGGTCAGTTGGGAATCAATTTGGAGTGGGCAAATCTACTGTGGGGGCTGCTGTGATGCAAGTAGCCCACGCAATCAAAGATCTGCTGATATCAAGGGTAGTGACCCTGGGAAATGTGCAGGTCATAGTGGATGGCTTTGCTGCAATGGGATTCCCTAACTGTGGTGGGGCTATAGACGGAACCCATATCCCTATCTTGGCACCGGAGCACCAAGCCGCCGAGTACATAAACCGCAAGGGGTACTTTTCGATAGTGCTGCAAGCTCTGGTGGATCACAAGGGACGTTTCACCAACATCAACGTGGGATGGCCGGGAAAGGTGCATGATGCTCGCATCTTCAGGAACTCTGGTCTGTTTCAAAAGCTGCAGGAAGGGACTTTATTCCCAGACCAGAAAATAACTGTTGGGGATGTTGAAATGCCTATATGTATCCTTGGGGACCCAGCCTACCCCTTAATGCCATGGCTCATGAAGCCGTACA